CGCCTGGGTGGCTCAGGTGGTTAAGCGTCTGCCTTCTGCTCAGGTCATGATCCCAGGGTCCTGGGGTCGAGTCCTGCATCGGGCTCCCTGCTCAGTGGGAAGCCTGCTTCTCCCTCTCCTCCTGCCTGCTGCTCCCTCTGCTTGTGCTGTCAAATAAATAAATAAAAAAAAAAAAGTCACAAACCATTGCACTCCCTTAACTGATTAAATCCCTTTAAAAATCTCTGGGCCAGGCAGAAACCTTGGAGTTGGCTTTTGGACAAGAGTCTGCCTTCTCCCCAGGTGGCCAGCCACCTGAATAAAGTTCATATCCCTTTCCATTCAACACTCGTCTCTTGAGTACTGGCCTTTCAGGCAGTGGGCAGCCGAGCTTGGGTTCGGTAATATTACTTCTGTTCTCTAATCCTAAAACTCTTCTGTCACCATCTTTGCCTCAGTCAGGTAGGATTCTCTATAGCTTTGCTCATCCCTAGCTCTGTATACTTCCTCCAGTTTCTCTTCAAGTGCTAGCCAAGCTCCATGACAATGCCTTACCCTCCAACGGGGCTGTTCATTTCAACTCTAACGACCAACAAATATCTACGAGGCACAAACCTTATACAAAGACTGTATTCAGCCTGCATCTACCAGCCTGGAACCGACCAGGAAAGTCACACATTGTCTGTACCTCCATTTCTCTAGCTGTAAAATGCCCCACTGAAAGGCAGACCTTGTCATGTTCAACTTGGACCATGTCCAGTCAGCACATTTGAAAAAGGCTCATGGGGAAAAGGAACAGTTTCTTCGGTGATATTTTCCCTGGTCTGAGGGAACTTACAACACAGCTGGAAAGACAGAAACACATCAGATGTTAAAGTGATTTGTGCATGGGGTGCCTGGGTGGCTCAGTTGGTTAGGCGTCTGCCTTCAGCTCAGGTCATGATCTCAGGGTCCTGGGATGGAACCCCGCATCAGGCTCTCTGCTCAGCGGGGAGCCTGCTTCTCCCTCTCCCTCTGCCTGCCACTACCCCGCTTGTGCTTGTGAGCTCTGTCAAATAAATAAATTAAATTAAAATTAAATTTAAAAAAATAAAGTGATTTGTGCAGAGGACTGATGGGAGAAATAGGAAACCTTAATCCCGGTCTACTGCCAATTCACTGTGTCACCATGGCAAAAGACACGATGTCTTAAGGCTTCATGCCTTATTTGTAAAATGAGGGGGTTGGAGTGGATGACAATAATGATGACGGAAATGTACGGAGCACTTATATACCAGGCCCTATACTAAGCACCGAACAAGGATTAACACACTGAAATCTCACAATACTGCTGTGAGGTAGGGGCCACTATCCCCATTTTACAGATAAGCCGTGAGATCCTTTCAACTCCAATGGTCTAGAATTATGTGATTTCAAGTTAAGTAATAAGGTAAACTGTGTTTTCCAAAGGTGGCCACAATATTTCCCATCCCACATGCTCTTCTTAAAGTGGGACTGATACTCCTGCCTTTGAGAGGTGGGTCTATGTCCTTTCTCATTGAATTTGGGTGGGCGTGTGACTAGAGAAAACGATGTTATGTGACTTCTGAGGCTAGATCACAGAAGTCAGTCTAGCTGATACTGGTGGTTTCGTACTGCGGCACAACAGATTACCCACAAACTTAGTGGCTTATACCCACTAATTAGCTCAGTCCGTAGGTCAGAATTCTAGGCACAGCACGGCTGGGTTCTCTGCTCAGGGTCTCACAAGGATTAATTAAAGGGGTTGGCTGGACTGAGTTCTCGGACAGTCTAGGGGAAAATCCGCTTCCAGGCTCCCAGCATTGTTGGCAGAATTCAGTTCTTTGTGGTTGCAGGACTTGAGGTCTGCCTCTCCTTGCTGGCTGTCAGCGGGGGCTGCGCTCAGCTCCTAAAGGTTACCCAAATTCTTTGCTAACATGGCCACCTCCACCCTCAAAGCCAGCTGTAGATAATCTCCCTCACATCAAATCCCTCTCACACTTCAAATCTCCGACATCCTCTGTCTCCGGCTTCTAGAATGGACCCAGATTAAAATGGCTCAAGTGATTAGATCAGGCTCACATGCAAAATCTCCCTATCTTAAGGTCAACTGATTTGGGACCTTACTTACACCTGCAAAATCCCTTTTGTCATATAATCATGGGAGTGAAATCTAATCATATAGGTTCTACCGAACTCAAGGGGAGATATGCCAGGGCAAGGATCACTGGGGGTAAAATTCTGCCTACCACATAGCTTCTATTTGATTTTCCTGTTATGCTTATTTTTGGAGCTCGGCCTCCATACCGTGAGGAAGTATAAGCAGTTTGTGGAAAGGAACTGAGGCCTCCCGGCCAACAGTCCTAGCCGAGCTCCTAACCAACAACAAGTATTAACTTGCTAGCCATGTTAGTCATTTTGAAAGCGGATCTTCCAGCCCCAAACTGAGCTGCCTCAGCTGGTGATAAGGACAGCTACTGAGTCCCACCTAAGTTGCAAATTTGTGAATAAAATAAAGGACTGTTGTTGTAAGCCACTAAGTTCTAGGGTAATTTATTACACAGCGATAGGTAATCAAAATGAAGTAACAACCCAAGTGAGATGATCTACAAGTACTGAAAGGTTTTTTGCAGACAAGAGTGGTAACTTACCTTTCTTTTAGGACACTGGAGCATCGAGCATCTGACAGTGTAGGCCTAAAATGTCTTTCAATTCATGGTTGCTGATTTATTAATCCAAACTTATACTGAACTAATTTACACTAGTATACCACTCATCCGTATTTGGAAGCCCAGCATTTTAAAAAAGTTATCTAAAAATCATGCTGTTTTCCTTCTGAGCAATGATTATACTATACATTTTAAGCTACATCTGTGAAATATTTGGGATGTAAATAAAGATAATGAATGTATTAATTTTAAAAGATACCATGGTCTTGTTTATAAATCACTAAAGTATTAGTATCTCAATGTATGAAAACTTTTTTTTTTTTAAGATTTTATTTATTTATTTGACAGAGAGAGGCAGCGAGAGCAGGAACACAAGCAGGGGGAGTGGGAGAGGGAGAAGCAGGCTTCCCGCCAAGCAGGGAGCCCGATGCGGGGCTCGATCCCAGGACCCCGGGATCATGACCTGAGCCAAAGGCAGACGCTCAATGACTGAGCCACCCAGGCGCCCCTGAAAACTACTTTTCAATAGTTATTATTTTCAATTAGAAAAACAGAAAACACTTAGAAAATAATCATCAGTTTTGTCATTAAGAATTTTCATCAATGGATATTAACTATCAGGTGAAAGACTGTTGGAGTAGAACTTCCATACACTCTCAAAGAGGCTCCCCTTGGATTATTTGTTGATTAGAGGGGAGAAATCTGGCAGACAAATCCTTAAGCAAATAGTCAAACTTAAAACAAAAAAACCAAATAATCAAACTTAGTATCACCAATGATGGAACAAAATGACATCATGTGCCTTCCACTGTAATGCACTGACACACCATCACATGTGTAGTATTCTTGACCCAAAATGTTTAGTCTAATTATGAGAAAACATATGAATCCAAATTAAGGATATTCTGAAAAACCACTGATTTGTACTCTTCAAAAATGTCAATGTCATGAAAGAAAAAACGCTGGGAACTCCTCTAGACTAAGGGAGATTAAAAGAGGTAACTAAATGTGAATCTTGACTGGATCTCCCCTCTCCAACAACAAAAAAAAACAGCCACAAAACCATAAAATTTAAGTATGCACTGCATATTAAATAGCACTGTACATAATGTTAAGTATCTGAGTGGTTTATTGTACTGTGGTTAAGTAGGAGAATGTCCTTGTTGAGAGCCAGATGCGGAAATGTTTATGGGTGAGATGTCACTATATCTGCAACACTCAGGCGAATTGTGTAAGGACTAAAATTGTGTACCTGGTTGAAGGATTTTGTATCAACATCTAGTCAACACTGTCCACGGACTTGGCAGAACAGGCAAATTTTCCCTTTGGATAGTTGAGGAGAAGCACACAGCTGGACACTCACCTCCCTGGGTGGCGCGTGGAGCCCTGAGAGTTATACGGTGGTCACAGCCCAATAGCGAGCGAAGGACGAGGCTGTGGTCTCACCCTTCCTAGAGAAACAGACAGGTACGCACACACGAGAGCATTCATGCTCTGCACACTTTACGACTATCCTGCTCCGGGGTGAAGGTGAAGCCACGCCCCTTGCCCCCAAAGGCGTCCTTGACAGCGGCACGTGCCTGTCCGACGCACTTTACGGCAGTCACGCAAAGGTGCGGGGGCGTGGCTATACCTCTCGCGCCCACAGGCACGCACGACAGCCGCACGTGCTGTGTGGAGCACTTTCTGGCAGCCACGCGAAGGCGCGAGGTCACAGGCCCACGCTGCGCGGGGTAAGCTCTGCGGCCTACGTCATCGTGGGCTGGCTGTTATTTCGTTGGTGCTCTCACGGCTCGGCCATCATGGCGATGGTGGCGGCACTGTGGCGGAGGGCGAGGGACTACATGAAGACCAAGGAGTTCCGGGAATACGTGACCAGCACGCACTTCTGGGGTCCCGTGGTCAACTGCGGCCTACCGGCGGCTGCCTTTAAGGACATGAACGAACCGCCTGACATCATCAGTGGCCGTATGACAATGGCGTTCCTCTTCTACTCGATGGCCTTCATGCGTTTCGCCTATCGTGTACAGCCTCGAAACTTGCTGCTGTTGGCGTGCCACAGCACCAACGTGGTGGCGCAGAGTGTGCAGCTGAGCCGCTACCTGGATCACCACTACGGCGGGGGCGCCGCGCCGGCGGCAGCTACCGCCACCACCACCGCCACCGAGGCCTCCACCACTGCTGCCACCACCGGTCCCACCAGCGATCCTGTGGCTGTTCGCGACTTTAAGGATGACGACTCCTGCTAGGCAGCCGCCTGCCCCAACCCGTGGTCCCCGAAACGTGGCTGAGAGGGCCCGATCGAATCTTTGCAGCTTACAAGCACTGAACTGTTCTCCCTGAAAAAGAGACCAGGGAAGTTTGGTTTTGACTCTAATAAAACAGTGCGAGTCTGACTGAAACCTGCAGTTTGGTTAGTAAAAAATAGAAAATAGCACAGAACGGAAAGTGTTGAGTGTTGTTTATTTTGTGATCTGGAAATAAAATGTTCTTTAGGTGAGGGTAGATTTGCTGGTCTTCCTCTTCATGGGACCCTCACCTCGAGGGTTAGTTTTTTACAGGGGGAGGAAAACTGAATGAAAAGTGTTCCTGAGATGGTGTTTTGTTCCTCGTTTTGGGTGTCCAGGCCAAATAACGCTGCTTGGTAGCATAAATGATTTTTAAAACTTGGTACAGGCATTAATCTCTTTACGGCAAAAATAAGTCAGGGGTTACTGCTATTGAGGGAAATACTTCGAAGTGGGTTTAAATGAATTCAGTGAAAAACCAGTTTAGGCTTTTAAAAAGTACTTATTAAGAGAACCTAGAATCTCTTGGTGATTGGACAGTAATTATAGAATCTACCATGGAAACAGGATAAATAACTCTGAGGTTAGTTGCTGTCAACCCTGGATTCTAGGTAAACTGAAAATAAGAACAACAAAATCGCAATCCTTTCCTCTTTTCTTCATGCCTAAAAATTTGGGAAATGGCAGTTGGTAAAACTGGTAAGCCTATTGCCCTGTGTTGAATGCTAGCTAGGGTTGGGGGTGAGGGTCAATGGTCAACGGTATTAGCCCACAGTGTCCCCCTAGGAAACCTATGGGTGCTAAGGACTTGTCTTAAACCAGGTTGCATGAGGAGGGAAAAGAGAAGGGTGGGGCTGTGAGTGTAAGGCCATTGTCTCTGCAGCAGAGGCTGCCCTCTAGGATTTGACCCCAAATTTCCTGCCTCTGAAGGATGCAGGAAGTTCTAGAGTGGTTTATTGGGTGAAAAGTGCTTAAACCCTGCTTTTGTTAAAGATTTTGAATGCAAAGAGGGGCCCCTGGGTGGAGCAGTTTGTTAAGCATCTCTTAGTTTGGGCTCAGGTTATGATCTCAGGGTCTTGAAATAGAGTCCCTCATTGGGCTCCAAGCTCAGCAAGGAGTCTGCTAAAATTTCTCTCTTCCTCTCCCTTTGCCCCTCCCCACGCTCACTCACTCTCTAAAACAAATCTTTAAAAAAAAAATTTCAAATGCAAAGAAATTGAACACAACTCTCTGAAAGGTTCTGAAGACATCAGGTCTTGGATAAGACAGGCACAACGTTAGTGGAACTCTGGAAGATTCCCCTTTCTCTTTTTTTTTTTAAGATTTTATTTATTTGACACACAGAGAGACAGCGAGAGCAGGAACACAAGCAGGGGGAGTGGGAGAGGGAGAAGCAGGCCTCCTGCCCAGCAGGGAGCCCGATGTGGGGCTCGATCCCAGGACCCTGGGACCATGACCTGAGCCGAAGGCAGACGCTTAACGACTGAGCCACACAGGCGCCCCTTCCCTTATCTTCTATGGCATCTAAGCAGTAGTCCTCTTTGTAGGCAGTTTCTGCATTTTACATTCTGCATACGGGGGAGAAAAACTCTGGAAAACTACTGTGTATTAGTTATCTATTCCCATGTAATAAGTCACCCCAAAACTTAGTGTAAAACAACAAATACTATCTCACATAATTTGAGGGTCAGGAATCTGGGAGTGGCTTAGCGGCGTGCTTCTGGCTCAGGGTTTCAGCTGTCCACTGGGGCTGCAGTCTCTGGACTGCAGTAAGCGGTAAGCTCACTCACACAGTTGTTTGCAGGTTTCAGTCCCTTGGCACGGGAGCCACAGGGCTGCTCACGACAGGGCTTCCCTCCAAGTGTTCCAAGAGAGAGAAAGCCCAAGATGGAAGCCATAGTCTATAGCATCATCTGGGAAGTGACATACCATCACTCAGCTGTGTCCTATTGGCCACATGAACCAACCCCAGTACATTGTGGGAGGAAAACACAAGGATGGGAATACCAGGCGGCAGGGATCTTTGGGGGGGCCATCTTGGAGGCTGGCTACCACATATGGTTCTGAAATAAAAATTCTCATGCCTTTCTGAAACAGTAGAAAGTAATAAAGCATGTCAGGTCATCACCCACCTTCCCCCAAAAGACATCACAAAATGCTCAGTTTACAGTTTTGTGGTCATAACTAACATGCATATATCATGAAGCATGGGTTTGAGAAGAGGGAAAGAAGTCTCTGGAAGATAGTATTTTCATATTTTAGATAGTTCAGACTATAATGTAATAATAAAAACCAGTTCTTAAAGTTTTGAAATGAGTCATAACCTTTTATCAAGGTTTTTATTAAAACTTGAATTTTTCCCTTCACTACTATGTGAGTAGAAATTAATATATTTTTAGATCTGTCTTACAACATGTATTTTGTAATTTGAGTATATTTCAATCAAAGGCAGGTAGGTTTCTAATTAACCTGGTAAGGGAAAAGTAGGTAATAATCCCTACTGATAATTCCCTATCACTCTACATTTATAATTTAGAGGGCAAAATGATTAGAGAAAAAAATCCAAAAGATTCCAATGCCTCCAACTCTCAGGCAATGCTCCACTTACAGGATTTAATTTGTAGTATGCCCACCCAAGAGGTCTCACCCTTTGTCGCCTAGGATATTCATGTTTAAAGCCATATAAGTGATTAATACTTTAATAAAAATGAGCCTTTCAAATCATTAGGGTAACAATCACTTCATAATCTCCCCAAACTCTCAAACACAATCCTTTCTGGCCTTGGCAATTTAACCTGTCTACAGATCTCTTCTGCTACTTTATGAAGCCAAGAACATTTTGAATTGGCAGAGCTATTTTTCCAGAAGTTTTTGTTACTGACACACTTTTGTTATTACCCAGAATTCGTGTTTTATGCTGAGTTTAAAAAGTAATGTCCTTCTCCTTAGGTCCTCTGAGTTCCCTGGCAAAGCACAGGCTAAAATGCAAAGAACTGCCTTACCTTTGCAACCCTAATGCCGAAACTTTTTCTCCTCTAATTCTTTCCACATATTGTGTCGCAGGGAGAGGCGGAAAGAGTAAATCATATTGCTGAATGAAAACCAGGCCCTCGGAGACAAAACAGCCCTGTGTGAAAAGGAGACCACTTCCTGGGCTTCTCTGGACCCTGACGCCTCCCAAGTGCCCCTGGAGGTGGAGCTGACACCCACAAAAATGGGAGGCTACAACCTATTCCAGGAAATGTGACACATAAGTCTTATAGTTTGAATTTGTATTGTTCATGTCTCTTGATTATCCTGAAATGAACAAACTGTAATTAAGAACTTTCAAAATACCAGGAGCATGTGTTTGTTGCACAAATTTCATATGGGATGAGGCCCAAGACAGAAAAGCCAGATTTCTGCTAACCAACCCCCTTGACCCCAATTCCTCTCCCAGAGGTAACCCAGCAAAGGAGCCTGGGAAAGGCACACAACTTTCCAGACCTTTTATTGAAAAAGACAAATAGTTTTACAGCATGCCATGCATTGTTGAACATTCTGCTTTTCCGTTTCGTGTGTGTTAAGAGAGCAGTCCATACTACTGCATTGCAGCAGTATGACGTTCTTTACAATTGCATAATGCTCTGCGGCGTGGACGCGCTGGGATTTACCCAGTCATCTCTTGATGCCCAGCGGCCAGCGCTGCTGTGAGCATCCTTGTGTGCACATCCTGCGCCACGTGCACAGATCCATAGAGGAGAGGCCCACAGGTTGACGTCCCTATGCACGCTCCATTTGCTTTAAAGCCCTCTCTGGACATGTCTTCCCTTTCTTCGATTTCAAGGTAATTAAACTGTTGCCAGTATAATGTTTTCTGCACAGTATCATTCATTTATCAGAGCAGACAATAAATCCAGAGATGACGGCATGTATACCATTGTCCACATCTTATAAATCCTCACATCTGCATCCATTTCAGCGCCCGGCCATGGCGGACACTTGATAAATGTTGGAGAGAGAAGGAGAAGCTAACTGGATACAGGAGGGATGAAACAAAAGTGTTCATAACCGCAAGTTCCTAAAGCTAGAAATCAGGTCTTAACTTGGTTAGTGAATCAAGATTTAATTGGATCCCACCTTCTAGATATACCTTACATCTAGAAGCTGGGAAACGTCTTGGCAAATTTCTTAGTTTGGGCATAGTTGCGAGATGAATGAAGATTCTTACTTTACTATGGAAGTCTTCTGAAGGAACGGCGTGAAGTGAACGGACAAAGAAAACGTACGATTCAAGACCAAATAGTCAGTTACAGGCACATTTGCATTCATCCGGGGTTTACAGCATTATATACGTGCATTTTAATGTAAAAACATACCAAATATACCCCCACCCTCTGCCCAGTGTCTACAGACCACGTTCTTGATGGGCAGCTAGACAAGTGAAGGATGGCTTCCTTTGGGCTTGGAGTGGAAGCACTTCCTCCAGGGAGCGGGGCAGGTGGCACTTCTGTCCGCGAAGGTCCAGAGGTGACCTGGCCCAGTTAAGTGCTGCTGGCTTTGAAAAGGAGCAGATGGAGGGGAGGGTGAGGCTGATCCCCTGGACCACTGCAAATGACTGGACAGGGGTTCTGCAGCTGAGGAAACAAACAGGACAAAGTCAGAAGTGGAAGACTCTTGGGGTAAAGCAATAGAAGCAGTTACAAATGAATTTGTCAATCTGTGCAAAGAGACTGATGATGCCTTTGAATTTCCGTAAGAATGGTGACATTTCATCCTTAAATCTCATTAACAAAGGACCAGGCTTAGTTTAACAGCATGACACACATTCATGTGTAAGAATAAATTGTCGGTGGATCCTTCTGTCAACAAATAGCCACAGAGCACACAAGGGCTGGGCCCTGTGCTCGGCACTCGGAATATATAGAACTGACCAGAAAGAGCTGTGATGGCTACGGGAGGTGACTCTTCCCAGGAGTACCACACACAAGCCAGCAACTGCGGAGCTTTCCCCGACATCCCCATCTGTGATGCTGGCTTGGGCCCTCTGCCTGCTTTGGTCAGTCAAGTCACCGTGTTCTCCGGTGCCCCCTGACCAGCCTGGGCCCACCTCCTCGCCCTCCTGCCGCGGCCTACCAGAAACGGGGAGCAACAGTTCTGTACTAACTGGAAAAGGCTAGGAAATGGCCTTTCAGGCGATTTGTTTTCTTGCCTTCTTCCAAAAAGGAAGGATTTATATCTCAACATTTGTATCACAGCCCACCCCTTGGGCATCCTTGTAAATGAGACTTTCAGGAATGGGTGTGGGGAGAGGGCTTGGGTGCAGGCAGGCAGAGAACTCTGTGTGACCCTTCGCACAGGCCTGGCCAAACACAGACCTCACTGTGTGAGGCACCTTTAAGTTTAGGACCAGAAAAGAACCTCACCTTCTGAATAGCAAAACAAAACAAAAACAAAAACCCCAAACCTCAAGACCCCAAAATCAAAACAAACAAATAAAACAAAAAAAACCCTGGATGATAGCAAGTTTTGGCACAGCAACATCTAACATTTTTTGGGCGGTTACAGATAACACGACACCAAGCTTATGAATATTAAAAAAAAAATATTCCCAAAGAGTCAAAGGAAGTCCAGGAAAGACAACAAAAATTCTTTTTTGTTTGGGCGGGGTACTCTGGTGTTTCCTTTTGCCCAAAAAAGAAGAGCTGAGATTGAAGCCGTACTGACCTTCACATAACACGCCTGATTTTTGTCAAAGGGCAACCTAAAACACTTATTTTCTTTATTTGAAGGGAAAACCGTGAAACATCAGAGACAGTCATTTTAACAAGTTTTTCTTACGGAAATGAACAAGTTGCTAAGAGCTAGGCATCAGTGGCATCATTTTAGGGTTGACAGGCTTTTGATTAAGTTAGAAAGTTGATTTACTTTAGACCAGTGACTTCAGGTATACTGGACTAAACAAAGCTGGACAGGGAGATTATGTTGAATTACTTCACAGATGTGAGAACCATCAATTAGAGCACAAAGCTCAGTGTCCCTTCTTTCAAATAATAAGGACACAGGGAAACTTCAGGTTACACTAAATTGTGTGTTCATCATGGCCTTATATAAGAGAACAAGCATCAAGGTGATGAGGTTATTCAGTCCTTACTTATCTTCATATGCGGAAACTCACCTCAGGCCTTCCCTTCAGGTTTCTGGGCCCCAGGTTCCTCGGAATCTGGTTTTTGCTGCTGTAGATGGAGGCTGTCTAGCTTCTGCAGATCTTCTGTAAGACCATTTCTAAGATCCTTGTTGCTTCTCAGAAATTCTTTCACCACTTGCAGTCGATTTAAGATCTGCAAGAGGAAACCATACAATGTACGGCTTAGATCATTTTACAGCAGGCTTGTAATTCAGATGGAAAACTTACTAGGTCCGAGACTGGCTCCTGCTCATGTGTCCGCCAATAGATGGTTCTGGGACCACACAAGGGGGTGTTTGTCTCCTCCAGTTTTTTTGCTTATTTTTTAAAAAAAAAGATTTTATTTATTTATTTGATAGAGAGTGAACACAAATACGGGGAGTAGCAGGCAGAGGGAGAAGCAGGCTTGCCACTGAGCAAGGAGCCCGACGCGGGACTCGATCCCAGGACCCTGAGATCATGACCTGAGCTGGAGGCAGACGCTCAACTGACTGAGCCACCCAGGCATCCCAAATTTTTTTGCTTTTAAGGGCTAATATCCAAAAGAGATAAAGAACTCGTATAACTCAATAGCCAAAAACCTCCAAATAATCCGGTGAAAAATGGACAAAGGACCTGAATAGACATTTTTCCAAAGAAGGTGTATGATTGGCCAACAAATACATGAAAAGGTGCTTGACATCGCTCATCATTAGGGAAACACAAATCAAAACCATGATGAGATCTCACCACATGCCTGTTAGAATGGCCGTCATCAAAAAGACAAGAGATAACGAACATTGGAGAGGTTGTGGAGGAAACGGAACCCCTGTGAACTGTTGGTGGGGATGTAAATTAGCGCAGCCAGTATGGAGAACAGTATGGAGGTTCCTCAAAAAATTAAAAATAGAGCTACCCTATGATCCAGCAGTTCCACGTCTGGGAACGTATCTAAAGGAAATGAAAACACCATGTCGAAGAGATTATCTGCACCCCTGTGTTCATAAGCAGCATTATTTACAATAGCCAAGACATGGAGACAACCTAAGCAACCACTGATAGATCAATGGGTAATAGGCGTGGTGTATATATACAATGGGATATTCAGCCATCAACAAGAAGGAAATTCCGCCATTTGTGATCATGTGTGTGGACCTCGAGGGCATTATGCTATGTGAAAGAAGTCAGAGAAAGACAAATGCTGTATGATCTCATTTATATGTGGAATCTTAAAAAAAAAAAAGCCCCCCAAAACAAACTCATAGAAGAAGAGATCAGACTTGTGGTTACCAGAGGCAGAGGGTAGGCGGAGGAGGAATGGGAAGAAGGTGGTCAAAAGGTACAAACTTTAGTTATAAGATAAATAAGCACTCGGGACGAAACGTACTACAGGAATGACTACAGCTAACACTGCTGTGTGATACACAAGACCGTTGTTAAGACAGTAAATCCCAAGTGTTCGCATCTCTTAAAAGATTTTTTTCTTCTTTTTTTGTACCTAGATGAGCTGATGGATGTTAACTAAACTTACTGTGGTGATCATTTCACAATATATGTAGGTCGACTCAGCATGCCGTACACCCTAAACTTATGCAATGTCAATTATATCTCAATAAAGATGGAAACAATTTTAAAAATTCTTTTTTGCTTTAAAACCTCCTACATTTGTAGGAAAGGGCTATATATCTATCTCTATATGTGTATGTACACACATATTTGCATACATATATATGTATATATAAAAATAAAATAAGGGGCACCTGGGTGGCTTTCAGTTGGGCAGCCAACTCTTGATTTTGGTTCAGATGATGATCTCAGGGTTGTGGGACTGAGCCCCTTGATGGGCTCTGCTCTCAGTGGGGAGTCTTGCTTGAGATTCTGTCCTTCCCTCTCCCTCTGCCCCTCCCCCCCACTCATGCTCGCTCTCTCTTTCAAATAAATAAATAAAATCTTTAAAAAAATAAAATGAAGCCCTTTCATTTGGCATTTGTACCCGCACATTTATTACTATTAAATATTTATAAAATATTCATAAGTTTAATAGTAGTAAGTGTACAGGTACAAAGTTCAAAATGAACACATGGGAACAAAGTAAAAAGCCAGTTGGACACAGTCAAAACAAATTTTTTAAATTAAGAATGGGGAAGACTTATGCACATTTCTAGATAAAGGGAGAAGAGGAAATAGAGGTGGAAAAACTGAAAGTACTAGAAAACTTATGGAATGTAGTCAGACAGACTTGGATTTTGAAGCCCAGCTTTACCACTTAACCAGCTGTGTAACTCTGGGCTAGACACCTGATCTCTCTGAGCTTCCTTGCACGTATGCAAATGAAAGATGGTGATACCAACACCACCTGGGATTCTCATGAGGACTAGAAATAATCTACTCCAAGTGCTTAGCGTTGTGTCCGGCATATCCCTTGCTTTCTATGTTCATTCCACAAATATTTATCCCGAGCTAATCTATTACAAGCCATGCACTGCTCCAGGCAAAAGAGGCTTAGCGCCTCCATTCTTCCAAACTCTTGGGCTTGTCTTGCATGTGTCTCTGTGCCCCTTCTCACCACCCCACGTCTCCACTTCCACCCTGGTCTGAACCTGGTACAGGCAGCAGTCTCCTCCTGGGTCTCCCCGCTCCCGTCCTGCGGCTGCCATGTCAGGAGGAAGAGCCTCTGCCCTTCCAGTGGCTCACAGGCCACAAGGACTTGCTTCCTCCACCTTCCTTTCTCTAACGTCCTCACCCACTTTTCTTTCTCTACCCCCACACCAGCTGCCCTGCTCAACCTGCTGCGCCCCCTGCCCGAAGGCCCTTCCTCCAGATATGCACCTGGCTAATCCTCCACGAGGCCCCCCTGACCACCAGACGCAACCTGCTACTCGGCCCCCCTCTGCTAACTCCTGATCCCCCACACCGTGCTCTACATAGCACTTCTTCTAATGCTTAGGAGCGTCGTTTACTTACTACGTTGACTGTTTACTGTCTCCCCCTACAGGGGTCTTTGGTTTGTTCACTGAGGCACACCAAGCTTCTAGAACAGGGCCTGGCACACTGGAGGCACAGGCTCTGTAACTATTTCTGAAATGTAATAAATGAAGGGTCATTTCCACCCTTTCCCCGACTGCTGCAGGTACATTTTGTCCCTGCCCCTGCAGCTCAAGGCTCCCCAGGGGTGAGACAGTTCCCTCACCAGGGTTTAAGAAATCAGTAATGATTTTAAAGAATGCACAAATTCCTTACATGTTTTTCAGCCCCTTACTGCACGTTTTCAGCCCCTTACTGCACGTGCTTTAGCTGAATGGTTAAATCCGCTGGATCCTAACAGCACTGAGGGCTGGCAGGGCGACATGGAGGGGTCTTGGGCGGTGGCCGGAGGCTGCTGCGGATGGGCCCATGGTGGACACAGTCCACACATGTCCCAAGGGGCCTGAGCAGCTGCTGCTCCCATGTGGCTCTGGAGCGGAATGCATTTCACAATCACAGTTCTACAGGCAGAGTGTATTTTAATGGGAACCCCTTTTCATAATGCGAGATATCACTGAGGCTCGTCACCTGAACAGAACAAGACGGAGGTGATGAGCTCTGTCTGCTCTGCGGTCCCTGGCACCCCCATGCTCCGTGACGCGCTGCTGGAAACTGGCACCCTAAATTACCACCACGAACCATTTCTTCTCACCGTGGCTTTCCAACGTTAGCCATGCTGTTTTCACGAACACCTACTATAAGCATGGTGTTTCTAAATTCCTGGATGCCTGGTTCTTCATCTTTCAGCATCTCAGATGAGAAGGCACCTTACAGTTGATAGTGTCTTACAATAAATTGGCAGTGGTGTTTTCTGTTTCTTTCTTAGAAGTAACTGGATTCATGGTGTCTTACAGTTCTTACAAATAAAGAACATGGATGCCCACATACGGTACCGAACTTTCAAAAGAGAGCACTTCCACACATTGTGGAAAGCCAACCTTCAACTTCTTCGAGATGACATGCTAATCAATCCTAACTTACATTTTGATCAATTGAAATATCAAGAGAGATGCTATGGCCTACTGAACAGAAAGCATGAAAAATGAGAATTTATCAGTTCTATCCAGAGACTCTGGGGACCCAGAAGACAAGCCCACTCACCCCAATTTCCTGTCTGTGAAACAGAGATAATGAGGGTTCAAAATTTACAGTAGCTAGCTCCTCGGTGAGATAGAAGCTGCAGGGCTGCATGCGGAAAGGCACAGGACCAGAGCAGCGAGACCCCCAGAGCCAGCCCTCACTCGCCAGCCGTGTGGCCTGGAGTCTGTCAGCGGTTGCTGCCTCGCATGGAAAGCAGGGGGATCTGGTCCCTGCCAGGTTCCCTGACAGCTCCTAACTTACATAGACTCCTGGCTTGAGCGCGCTGCTACGGATGCATTTTGTTTGTTACACAAACAGAAAAAAGAACTACAGCTCCCTCAAGAGAGAAGACGGAGCTACTGACACCTCTGGGGCCTTAAGCCTGACCTGGTTGTGTCTTCTCCAGTTCCACGCGGCCTTCTTTTTTAAAGATTTTATTTATTTATTTGAGAGACAGCATGAGAGAGAGAGCGAAAGAGCAGGAGTGGGGGGAGGTGTAGAGGGAGAGGGAGAAGCAGACTCCCCGCCGAGCAGGGAGCCCAATGCGGGGCTCAATCCCACGACCCTGGGATCATGACCCAAGCCGAAGGCAGAAGCTTAACCGACTGAGCCACCCAGGTGCCCCTGTTCCACACAGCTTCTGATGGAAGCAGCAAAACCAAAACTGGGGCTGGTTCTAATGGTATTTTAAAATAAACTCAGATAAAACACACAGATCTAGAGAAAAGAAGACAATCATCTTTTTCATCACTGTAAATGCCTATGGTGTGCTGGGGTGGGAGCATCCAAAAACCAGGGGTTCTCAGGCCTTCTGCTAAAGGAGCTCACCAAGTTGAATGAAGCAGCTAGGTCAAGGTCAAAACGGTTAACAGAGGCCTATGGAGCAGTGAGGAGCATGGCTTAATGAACGAAACACACGTTGTATTAAATAAACACTGTTTAAAGAGGTAACCAGCAAAACTACTTTCCTTGGAGACAAGGTAGAACGGAGAGGTAAAACGATTTGTCCAAGATCTCCTGGTGATCTAGAACTCTAAGCCAGCAAGTACTGGAATAAGTCTGAACTTTACTAGAGAAGGGGTTGGTCCAAGATGTCAGAGGAGTAGGAGACCTAAATTTCATCTGGTCCCAGGAATTCAGCTAGAGAGGGATCAAACCATTCTGAACACCTACGAACTCAACAGGAGATCGAAGGAAAGAATAGCACAACTCTCTGAACAGAAAAGCAACCACCTTCTGGAAGGCAGAACGTGCGGAGAAGTGAATCCAAGGTGATATTTGGGAGGACAGA